GGGCCCTTCCTCAGGACTCCGCACTGTCTAGTCACACTCCCCACCCCCAAAAAAAATTGTCCTCAGTGGCCAGACTGCCTCCCCCCCAACCCCACACCGTCCAGCCTCGACCCCCGCCGGCCTTCGTTTGAGCCTCCGTTTTCTCCCGCGGTTCTGTACAAGGAGCGAGGGCGGAAATCAGTCGCCTCCCAGGTGACCTTAATACAGCGACAAGAAGTTTGTCCCCTCTCCCTCCTCTCCCTTCTCCTCCTCCCCCACCTCCCCCACTCCCACCCCAGGCGGCGCTCCACCGCTCCGGCCCGGCGCCAGTCCGGGTCTCCACCGCCGGCCTCGCCCCGGGGGCCATCGGAGCCCCCGGGTGGCCCGCGGAGGAGGCCACGCCCGGAGGGTGGGGGACAGGGGACGTCACTAGTCCTTCTCCGAGGCCGTCCCCACCGCCCGGGGCCTCCACCGGTCACCCTTCCCAGCCTCCACCTCCCTCCCAAGTCTCAGCGGCCTCCAATTGGCCTCCGGGGGTGGGGACACCCCCCTGGCCTGCGACAGTGCGCTGCCACCTTCCACGGGGGGGGGGAGGTCTGGAGAGCAACAGGGGGGAGGGGACGTGGCTTGGAGGCTGGGAAAGTGGAGGCTGTTGAGCGTTTCTTTTTTTTTTTGGCAAAGGGGAGGCAGGGTAGAGGCCCGGAGGTCGGAGGTCGGAGTGGCTGCCGCGGCGCACTGGGGGTCGCGGGGAGGGGCGCACGGGGGTTGGTCCTCACTGGCCCTCCGCGCGCGCGCAGCCAAATCAGGGGCGGAGGCCGCGCTGATTGGCGTGGCGCCGGGCCTTTAGGCTCTCGCGGCCTGCGGCGGCGGCCTCCGCTTCATGTCCCTGGCTGGAGCCGGCCGGTGGCGCAGGTGCCGCGGGGACAGACGCACCCCGGCGGCGCGACGTCTCGCTGGCCCCGTCCACCCCGTGCGCCCCTGACCGCCTCGCACCACCAGCCTCCACCATCAGCCTCCTCGCTTGCGGGCCCTTTGGTTTCCAACTCTTCTTCGTCTTTTTTTTTTTTTTTTTGGCCCCGCAAAATCCGGACGCTCGCGGTAAGTTTGGGGGCTTGGGGACAGACACCCCGTTTTTTTTGTTTTTTTGAGCTTTTGTTGGCGGGGGTGTTCTCTGCTTCGGGCTCAGGGCCCAGGAAAGGGAAGGCCGGCTTGGGGGGAGGGGGTAGAGGCCAAGTCCTCTCTGGTCAATGTCGCTTGGCGTTTGGGGGTCCTCCCCCCCCCGTAAAAAAAAGCGACAGAAGTCCCCAACTTTTGTGTTTTTCTTTTTTTTTTCGCCCCCAAAATAATCAGTCTCGGAATGCTTTTGCGTGGGGATTTTTTGGGGGGGGAGGGTGTCTAATGAGCGGGTTGTTTGTGGCCTCCACTTCACGCAGGGCCTCCGTCCCGGGCCTCCACCTTCACGACCGGGGACTCCAGCCACCCCCAGCCCCCGCGGGAGTGACAGATTGGGACCCCCGAGCGCGTCCGGGCCATGGAGGTGGCCTCCGTGGAGCAGCCTCGCTGGATGAGCCACGCCGCCGCCGCGGCCTCCGCGGCTCGCCGGTCCTCACACCTGAGCTCACCACCGCGGCCGCTCGGCCAACTACGCTGCGACCCGTCGCCCCTGCTGGCACGGACGGCGTGGCGCTGTTCTCAGCCTGGACCCCGGGAGCGTACTCGCCGGCGCGACCAGGCCGGCCGGTGCGTCACCGCCCGCGCGGTGGCAGCATGCGACTGGGTCCCGCCACCTTCCTCCCCGGGACCCGGGGTCTCTTGGCTTTGGGGGGGGAAAGAGACAGTTCGCTTGCTGTTCTTCGTTAATCTTTCGCCGGGCTGTGCTGGCTTGTGGCGGCCGTTTTGCGCGGACTGGCGCACGGCTGCAGCAGATTTCGGGCTCTCGCGCGCTGTCCCCACGACGCCATAGTGAGGATGCGTGGGTTCAACTGGGACCGCGGGGTCCCGCCCTTCGCTTTGGGGGGGGAAGAAAGAAAGCAACGCTTCCCGTTTCTGTTCCTTCCTTACTTTTCCCGCGATGTGAGCTGGCGTGTGGGGCCGTTTTGGGGAAACTGAGGCACGGGCTGCGGAGATTTAGGGGTCGGAGGCTGTCTCCCGAGACGCCATAGTGAGGATGGTGGGGTTCACTGGGACCGCGGGGTCGCCTTCGCTTTGGGGAGGGGGAAAGAAAGAAAGCAACGCTTCCCCGTTGCTGTTCTGTTCCTTCCTTACTTTCCCCGGGGTGTCAGCTGGCTTGTGGGGGCGTTTTGGGGAAACTGAGGCACGGGCTGGAGAGATTTAGGAGTCTGACGCTGTCCCCCCAGACGCCATACTGACGATGGTGGGGTTCACTGGGACCGCGGGGTCGCCTTCGCTTTGGGGAGGGGGAAAGAAAGAAAGCGACGCTTCCCGTTGCTGTTCTGTTCCTTCCTTACTTTCCCCGGGATGTGAGCTGGCTTGTGGGGCGTTTGGGGGAAACTGAGTCACGGACTTCAGAGATTTGGGGGGTCTAAGGCTGTCCCCCCAGACGCCATACTGAGGATGCTGGGGTTCACTGGGACCCCGGGATCATCTTTGCGTTGGGGAGGGAGAAAGAAAGAAAGCAACGCTTCCCGTTGCTGTTCTGTTCCTTACTTTTCCCGGGGTCTGAGCTGGCTTGTGGGGGCGTTTTGGGGATACTGAGGCAGGGCTGCAGAGATTTAGGGGTCGGAGGCTGTCCCCCTAGTCCCCATACTGAGGATAGTGGGGTTCACTGGGACCGCGGGGTCGTCTTGGCTTTGGGGAGAGGGAAAGAAAGAAAGCAACGCTTCCCGTTGCTGTTCCTTCCTTACTTTTAACTGTCGCGCGCGTGGCGGTCAGTCTGCGACCCCGACAACCGGCCGTCCAACCCTCAGCCCCCGGGACAAAGGGGCGAGCGCGAGTGCAGGCCGTGCAGGCGGCGGGACGAGCCGGGTTAAGCCGTCGCAAAGCCGGCGCACGGACCGGCCGGCAGGTGCAGCGGCTCGGAGGAGGCCGGCTGGGGACAAGCTCGTGCGCTCGGATAAAACGCTGGCGTTGGATAAAGCTGGCGTTGGAAAAAACGCTCCTCGTTGGATAAAAACGCTGGTCGTTGAAAAACGCCCGTCGTTGGAGAAAAACGCTGAGCGTTCTATTGTGTATCAACGAGGCGCGGTCAC